ATATGTTTTTGGAAAAAAGTTTTTGACTTCTTTTTTTTTTTTTAAATTTTTATTGAGAAAAGGAAAAGAAAAAAAAGTTTCCACCTCCTCCCAGCCTCCCTAGACATGGACGGAGGGGGGAGGACCTTGGACTTCTTTCATATGTATATTTGAAGCCTTTAGAAGATTAAAAATTAAACAGAGAGCAATCTGACACTCTTTTATTAAAAAGAAAAATAAAACAATGATTTGAAGGAGAAACTCAGTGACAGAGTGCTTGCCTAGCTAAGGCAATTTTTGAATTTGGTGCCCATCAAAACACACACAGACACATGGACACACACACACACATATACACACACACATAGAGAGAGATATAGAGAGAGAGAGAGATAAAGAAAGAGAGAGACAGACACACATACAAACATACACAAACACAGCCACACACAAACATGCACACAGAGACACAGGCAGTAACACACACACACATGCACACACTTATGCAAATACACACAACACAGGCAAAGGCACACAAACACACAGATACCCACAGACTCATGGCACACATATAAACACACACACACACACACAGAGAAAATACAATCCGATGATACTAATACATATCTAGAAAACAACAGCAAAGAAAGTGATGTACCACTACTCGGATCCAATACAAGAGGTAATGTGGCCACTTCCAGAAGAAAAAAGTTAAAGATTCAAGAAATCAAACTGCTTTCAAATGAAAATAATCAATCATCATTAAGATAGTTGAGAGCCTGGGGAACATTTAGCTTACAAAATGCAAATAAAGACATGGAAAAACAGGAGAACGTCCATCCTAAATTATTATGATGAAGGTAGACACAGATTTGAGTTTAGCATGTGAATAACTTTATGGCATCTGGAAAGGCATCAGAATCGGATAGCATGTCCATACAGAGGGACACACACACACACACACACACACACACACACACACGTATATGTATACACACACACATATATAACATATTTTTATATATATAAAATCTTGGTTGTGAGCCTAATCTTTAATGGCTGAGCCATCTCTCCAGCCCCACAGGGACGTTCTTAATGCTGGAAACAGTCCAGGCATAGAACTACTGATGATACATAGAAAAGGTGCACTGGCAGCTAAAATCAAGCCTCTGGTGGTGTTTTCTTCTGGCAGTGCTCAAAGTGTGGCATCCCATTTTGTATTAGTGAGATCTTGGCTTTTGTTTGGTTGATCCAACATTCTAGATCCCCAAATCTGACATTCACAAGGATAAAGAAAAAAAGACATACTAATATATGATACAAAACTCACCTCAGGGACATTCTGTTGGAATATCAGGATGAAGGCTATCTTCTCTATGAGATTAGTATGATAATACAATCCTAATAGGGATCTCGTTGATGTAGTTTGGGCTACCATTTATTTATTTATTTATTTATTTAAGATTTCTGTCTCCTCCCCACCTACCATATCCTTGATGCTTTCATTTATATAAATTGATAAATTTTCCCCTTCCCTAGTTTTTTGATGTTTTCTTTCCTGTCAGTAGCAGTTAAAAATCTAAATCAAAAAAAAAAAAAAATTCCCAAATCCCTTCCAGCTCCATGTGGGGAAGCGATAAATGACACAGGGGATACAATTTTAAACACTTGAAAATCAGGGCACAGGTATGGAGTTTAGCAAAGGGTTTTGTGACGAGTCCTTCCTGATACAGCCCAACCATGTCTGAGACAAATGATGGAGAGACCCAGAAAGAGGCCTTCGACTATGGTGATGCCTTCTGAGGAGCAGACTGAGAAGGGGCTGTCCTGGAGACAAGTTACACTCAAAGTTTAAAGGGGGATAGTTGCTCACATTTGGGCAGACAGGAGTCTCTTTAAAGTTGCATTATTCTCTGCTGTCAATAGGCACTTCCTATTTCTGCTCTAAAGGAGCGTCTTGAAAGTAGTCATGTTGAAGTTGGGAACAGTCAGGGGGAAAATAAAAACCAAGTCAAGAAAGGAGGATAATTTTTCAGGACATTAAGTGGCTTAGGATTCTTATTTATATCGTTTTGATTGGCATATTGATTTACAGCAGCTTAAGTCGCAGAGTGAGGAGGGATGGAGGTTATCGGGATGTGACTTGTGAAGACAGCTGCTGCATGAGCATCCAAAGAAACTTGGGGTGCCGAGATGATAAGCTCCAAGTTCTGTCTGATACACTGAAGTGATCCCTTTCTAAGAACTATGAGATAGAAATTACTTAGATTCGATTTAGAGCAAGCCTTTGCCTTGTGAAACCTAGAATTTTGTTGTGCTGAGAAACTGGATTGGAATGGTTTCAAGGAAAATGAGCATAAGATTTGCCACATGGCTTCTCAGCTGAGATCAAGGAAAGAAGTGTCACTATGTGAACAGTGTGGCAACAAGAATGTGATCTCAACCAGCCTTTAATTCTAGTCTCTATCAGCATGGCATAAATCCTACAAGAAGGCATCACTGTGCAGTGCCTGGCTCTCAAGGAAGAAAACGATAGTTTATTTTCCAATTTATACCAACCCATACATACAGGAAGGATGGCTATGCATGACCAGTCACACAACAGAATATAAGGTTTTTCTTTGAATAAATTCAAATCAATTAAAATAACAACAACCAAAAACCCCCAAACCCTTACAGAGCAATCTGTTTCTAATTGTCTTCATGAATAATAAAGCAGAAACTGTCTGGGAGCTGATATCTGGTGTGATCCTGAAGACGTCTTCAAAATTATGAATGGAAAATCTTGCTGTGACCAACAGACCATGCCAGGGAGAGAAAGAGAGACTACACACATTCTTATAGCTAAGAAATGAAGCTGAGGAGAATGGCCAAACAGATAATGAGCGAAGCCATTAATTTCCTCTGCATTTTCCAAAGCATTCGTTTACTGATGTCGTTTACGTTGGCACACACACAGGGCTTGGTGGTGAATGTACTTCCATATGATTCTGGGTACCTAGATGAATGCTGGGTGTCAGCAAAAGCAGTTTTACAGCCCGAACTCCCACATAAGCTGCAGAGAATCTTATCCTAATGGCTCCTGTTTCTTATTCTTGTGTTGTCCCCTTCACGCTGGCCTCTCCTGGCCCTTCCCTGCTACTTAACTATTATTCCAGCCTTTACTGTTTGCTTGAGATGGATATAATATTAAAATGGAAGTCTGGACTCTGTCCAATGTTAGTTCTTGCCAGCTGAAACCGTATCAATGGGAGAAAATGATGCTGTAATTTTCTTGTCTGGCAAAATGCAGTAAGAAATTCATGCAGAAAATGTAGCAATATTCATTAAAATGAAGAATATGCCACAATGAGTACTGATAGTTTGCTTTTAAAAGCACTTGTTAAAATACCATTAGATGTTTAGTATCAACCAAGTCATCGCAGTAGTGTGGCAAGATGGCATGCTGAGTACTATTGTTTGCTTTGGATTTCCAAGTATCTTTCTTCTATTCCCTTTGTGTGACAACCAGGAAGGACAGTTACATAGCAGCACAAGTATTCATCTATTTTTGAAATGTCGATTAAATTTCATATCTTAACTGCATAAAAAACTCATCTATAAGTGCTTGACAGAATGAATTATCACAATTTGAATCAAGAGCTCTTAAAAAGAGGAGCGGAGCCCCCATTTCCCAGATGAGAGTCTATAATTGTACACATGAAAGGAGAAGACTCATTAAAATTCACTGAAAACACTCAAAACTTTACTTTCATGTGTAAATCTGGAGTTAAAGAAATTACAAATGGATATTCATCAGTAGAACCAAAACAATATACTACGCTTTGGTGGCACACCTAAAAATATCTAACCACTGAGCATACTTATATACTCATGATAGGCTAACACCAAGCAATTAGGTGGTCAAGTCTGTTTGTAGATGTAAAGGACCTGAAGCTTTGCCACTTGCTGATGAGACGTTGAGGGAAGCCTTGGTTTTCATTTGTAAAATGTGAATTGTCACAGTGATAATAACGCCTGTCCACTTAAGGCACTGATGGGCCTACGACAATCCATCCAGACAGGACCCTTAGAGTGACTCCAAGAACACAGTGGAAGATGGAATGAAAGGTCAGAAAGGAAATGCAGAGGAAGAAGCAGCAGAAGTTAAATGGGTCCAGTGTTGGCTTTACACATAGTGCTCATAAAAGAATTTACATACTAATATTCCCGTGTGGAAATATGAAGGCCATGGCACTCATGGCTCCCACACTCATGGAAGCCAAAACCCTCCAACCACAATGTCCACAACATTCACACTATTTTTCATGGCATGGGATGACAGGAGGGGCAGGACAGGAAGAGCCGAGCCTGATGGTGTTTGTTTGTTTGTTTGTTTGTTTGTTTTTTCCAAACAAGCTGGGAAATAGCAAAATGTTTTTCTGTAGCCACCTAGTAACTTCCTAGATGATTGCTTCTCTGGATTGCTTTCTTTGAAGTTCTGAAATACTTCATGAGTGTGGGGCTGAGCTTTTAATGTTTCACCGGGGAAAAGAGAGTCGTTTCAAGGAGAAGATAGAGATAATAGGCAGGCAGGATTTCAGGCTGTTCCTGCCTTTCCTATAAACTAGTATGTGAGACTACTTTGTTTTACAATGCACAAGATTTCTCCTCTGCTATTTTTTATAGTTGGGTGCTGAAATAACAAATATGTTTTCTATATAAGAATAAATCCCAGAACTTATATAGGTTGATATGGAAACATAAGACAAACATCTCCGGGCAATTTTTGAAATCATAGAGCTGAAAGGGAAGTCATAATCAAAGAACTACTACAATAGAACCCGGGCATATACTCTGCAGAACACTAGTCCTGAATCCTGAATATACTCATAACTACCTACTAACATCACATAAGGAGAGCCACCTAACTTTCACATGTACCCACACTTCTTCAGAATTTCTGAAAAAAAAAAGTGAAAAAACTAAAACAAGACTTCACCTGTAAGGACTCTTAATTCAGTGGAGAAAAGAACATTACTTACTTTCCATCCCAAACATGGTCACCTCTGTGGAAAATCACTAGGTTATTCTTAGAATCCAGTGCCACACCAGAGACCTGGCCCGGTAACAAGTACACTCCCGGCCAGTCCAGGGCCTCCTCCACATGGAAATCTAAAAGATAAAGCCACACATGGATTCAGCATAAAAACAGAGGCAAAGATGCAGCATCGGCACACAGACTCATGCACAGACACGGAAACAAACTCGAGCAGAAAATACGCCAAGCGCATGCACATGCCGCGCAGCCTCCCGAGCTGTGAGATAAAGGGACTGGACTCGTCTAGAGACCCTCCGCTCTCCTTTCCCGCTGCTGAGACGCCTGTAAAATCAGATAGATCGCATGCTACAAAAGAGCCAACTTGAAATTGCTTCTTCCTTGTTCAGATTCCTAATTTTAAATTAATGTCTTTGAAAACTTATGCCAGCATTGGGGGTATTGTTTTAATATACAATTTTAAAATGCAAAAAAGTGCCAGGAATTAGAAAAAACCCTCAATAATCACTCTCTCCTGTCTGTCTTTCTCTATCTATCTATCTATCTATCTATCTATCTATCTATCTATCTATCTCCCATATGAATAAAATATGGATGATCGATAGACAGCAGTTCCTAGGCTAAGTTATTTATTGATTATCCATTACACTTGGAACTATGCAGGACATCATCATCTTTCTTAGCTTCAGTGGAATGCTCTGTCCTTGTACATATTTTCTTGTTTTCTAACATGACAAAAAGGCAACACTGACAACTCTATTATTGACTGACAAATTATTCCTGTTTCTGATCCTACTATTCCTATTCTGTATTCAGAGGAATACAATCTTCAGAGAACACCCGAGTTCATTTGCATTAACCCAAGTCATAAACCAGCTCACCAATGACCAGGTACTACATACAGTGTTTTCTGTACTGATGATAAGTAACTATTAAGATAACACTGAAAGCCACTGTATCAAAGTTTCATCTGCCCCCCCCAATGCTTCAACAAGAGACTCTGAGAATATCAAATCAGAAATCCAAGTTCCATTGATATTTTTCCCCCACTTTCTGAAGAACGTGGCATAGGACTTATATTACAGGCATTGGAACCCTTGAGAAAGTGCCAATGTAAGAATAGGAATTTACAAATAAGCTTCTCATTTATGGAAATGCACCTGTTCACATAAATCATTTTACCTTTCCATACATAGCCTTTTATACAAGGTAACAAAAATGCTGACATCTACCAATGACTTTTAATAATGCAGTTTCAACAGGTAAGTGTAGCCTTTACACTGAATTCTATGAACATGAAGTTAAACATGATTCTCGGTCTTGATGAATTACAGGAAGAATGCAAAGTAAGACAAGTTTGAAGGCCAGAGAAAACAGGAACCAAATACTTGAGACACAAAGGAGCATGAGAACACAGAAATGGTCCCATAATCCAGCTGGAGGCTTTGGCTGGCATAGCATAAACTCTCTCTCCACAAGATCTCCTAGAGTAGCAAAAAGATGTGATTTTGGGTCAAGTGAAGCATGACTGAGAAGAGGCTGAGGGGAGTTGGAAGTGGGAAGAGAATGTTTTGATCAGAAAGAAGAAAAACAAAGACTTTCCTAACTATAATATCTATTTCACAATGTTTAGAAACCCGAATTGAGAAACAAACCCTTAAGCCTGGCGGTTGTGGCAAGCAGGACTACAGGAGAAGCCAACCATCAGATCTGATGTAAACCCAGACAGGAGATGTATTATATTACATGAAGAACTTAGACTTATAAGGACAGTTGTGGGTTTTTTTTTTTTTTTTTTTTTGCCTTGTAGGGTCATGACCTATACTACAGCTAATTTTAAGGCATGATGCAAGTACTTTCTGAATAGTAGGAAGAGCACAGAGTAGGGCAATAATTTAGTTTGGGATGTCATTTTTTCCTTGTGTGTGCTGTGATAGGCTGTCCTGAGTTAGAGAGAAGACAGCATAGTTCAGTGAGCATGCTTCAATCCAATCTGTAGACAACCCTGGGCACACCAGTGGAGGCTGTGGAGCTGTGGAATGAAGGGCATCCATCACCCATCACACTGGCTGTCAAAAGAGGAAAAAAGGCTGGAAATTGATGCTGCAGCGAATTGTGAGTCACTGAAGGTTTTTCAGCATGAGATGATGTGATTAACATTGTGCCTTTGAAAGTTAGCTTTAGAAGTAAGGACATAAACGTGATAATTGTAGATGTCTAGATTGGTGAACAGAGGGGCAAATCTTTCCCCAAAGCAAAGGTTTTAGATAGTCTTGAGATGCTTAATTGCTTGATTTCAGGTGTATTTGATTCTCATTTTATTTTATTTATTTTTTATTTTTTTTTGGTTTTTCGAGACAGGGTTTCTTTGTGGCTTTGGAGCCTGTCCTGGCACTAGCTCTGTAGACCAGGCTGGTCTCGAACTCACAGAGATCCGCCTGCCTCTGCCTCCCGAGTGCTGGGATTAAAGGCGTGCGTCACCATCGCCCGGCCCCATTTTATTTGTGATTTGGGCTTTTAGTTGTCATCATTCTGTCCTTTGTAGCCAACTCCTGGAATGCTTTGGAATAATGCTTCTGTACGCTATGAATATGTGTGTTACTCTCATTGGTTACTGAAGAAGCTGATTGGCCTATAGCAAGAAAGGATAAAGTTAGGCAGGGCAATCAGAGGATTCTGGGATGAAGACGGGCTGAGTAAGAGAGCTGCCGGCAGATGCAGAGAGAGCAAGATGGGCACATTGTACTGAGAAAAGGTAAAAAGTCACCTGACAAAGCATAGATGGGTTAATTTAAGTGTAATAGGTAGCTAGTACCAAGCCTGAGCTGTCAGCCGAGCATTGGTAATTAATATCAAGCCTCTGAGAGAGTTTTTGAGAGTGGCTGCTGGACAGGAAACTTCTGCCTACACCTGGAACTTATGGATGGACACTAAGTGAATCTTAAGTATATACCAAAGTGGATATTTAATTGCTTTCCTCAGATTCTTGGAACCCAGAACCACTTCAACCTCTCGTTTATTTTCTTGTCATGTCTCGTGTATGCTCCAGTCTCTAAAAGGGCAGCATTTTCACAGTCTCATACCCTGGAAATGTGTGTGTGTCACTACCTCTTCCCACCCTAAAGTAATACTGACAGTAAGATAAGGCTACTTAGTAAAAATGTGCCTTTACTAACTGCGTTCACTTAAGATAATGGACAGATGTCTTCTGAACTTAACTGCTGTAAGTTCATAGGCCACCAACGTGTGATAGGGTTAAGTACTTGTGAAGACGAATGGCTCTAATGGTGATAAAAGTATAGATGTGCAAAAGCAAGCATTGTGTTGGTGTCAAATCCCAATTTCATAAAATATTGGAACCACTGTATAAATAAGTTTAATCTGACTGTGAATGGTCCCAACAGCATAGGACCTTACTTGGCTAAGCATACAGTCTGCAAGGATCATTATGTACAAATTGTTTGGAGCCCAACCACACCAATTATAAAATCAAAACACTTGTCAATATGGTTAGAGATTTTGCAAAACACCAAGGCAGTATCAATAGCTAGAATGTATTTATCAACAGGTCCACTTTCAGGAATTCTCAGTATAGTAGAGGTGGTACCTAAGAAAATTAACCTTAGCACTATGAAGAACTTGGCTTTTAGCAGCAGACATTTGGAATGCATTTCTACTTCAGTCACAACAGCTTTGAGGCTATTAGGATGACCCAGCTAAGATTTCAACGTCAGGCATCTGGGTTCTTGTGCTAATCAGATTCTAGGATGGGGAAAGGAAAAGAGTTCATATTTTCCTTTGTGCATACTAGATCTGATAATGAACAGTTTCCTTTCCAATGTATCTGCTATATAATTATTAAAGGTTAAAGCTACATCCTATGAGACTAAGTGTGTAGAATTACAAAGGTCATCTAGGAATAACATGAATCTAATCCTGACTGATTTGACCCCTATCATAAGGTGCTCAAGAATCAGCACCTCCCGACTGCAATGGCATCAACCCATGTCATTTTCTCATTTGACAGGACAGGATTTAGGCTGGGGCCAGACATCAGATCTCAACATCAAGGATAATTTTCTTCTAATTATTAAAACAGGAACATTTAAAAGCCTCACTAAACAAATGGTATGATAAGATGTATTTGGGTTCCATCTTTAATTTGATATTTTTAATCATAGAGAAAAAATGTACTTCGTGTTTCATTTATTCTTAAATGATTCGGTGTGTAACTATATTGTAGAATTTTGGCTTAAATTAGACATTAAATAAGAATTTCTTACCCCTGACCATGGGCAGCTGTCCCATCTCTAAAATCTGTGCTAAACTCAGATGGCAAATAGCCAAATGGTTAAGATTGGTTGCTTCTTTTTAAAATCCTAGATTTGAGAATAAAATAGAGGAAACAGTGTTTTTTTTTTTAAAATAATGTAAATACATATTAGTTTTAGTAGCCGTGACACAATTCATTGCTTTCAAAAAAGACGCCAAGAAAGATAAAAATCACCCTCCAGAGACTTTAAATGACATTCTTTCCAAATGAGACCTAAGACTTTTATAACAAAGTACATTATCCGCCAAAGAACGCTTGCATTTGTTAGAAAAACAGTAAGTGTGTAGCCGCATATACTGACAGATTTTAAAAATTACTGACGGAAAAATTAAGCATTACTATTAAAATTATATCAATAAATCACTAAAAGAATCTTCTGCCTTTTCCAGAAAGAGATTAATATTAGTGATCAGCGATACTGTCACATGGTCTTATTAATAAGCATTTAAAAGGGCATTCACTTATCTGTGTCACAGGAGGACAAACAGAGCCACATAAAACTCAAGCATAATAAAATCTAATAACAGGAGTATGGTGCAACTTCAGTCTATCAAGGCTGCTTACATCTTCCCCAAAACTGGAGAAAATCACTACATTTCATAAAATGTGTCAGCTGTTTCCTCTGTCCTTGTCAGTTTCTATTAGTTGAGTAAATATGCTTTAGAGCTAACAGATTTATTATTTATCAGAAGTGTTGGCAACAACTATAATTAGCAAATACTATAGGGGAACTATTTACAACAAAGTCAAAAAGTAAAGAAGGATAAGTTATAATGTCTTATT